TAACACAGTCGACTTTACACATTCAGATTCTCTTAGTTGTAGCTGACAAAACTGAATCTCAGACAGTAGACTTCTCTCCTGCGCTTGCCTGCGTTCCCATTAGCAAGAGCTGCTACGTGAGCAGGTTCTAGGTCTCTGTCGTCAGTAACAACTGACCGGTTGAGTGCCCTAGAGAGGCAAATCACAGCAGTTGAAGTTTGCTTTATTCACCTACAGAGTTGAGTAATTGAAGTAGCTGAGTCTATAGTCACTTTTCATTTGTAATGTCTTCTTAGGTTCCTCCCACCTAGGCGGGCCATACCTGCCAGTTGTCCTTCTTTGTTACCAAGTACAAGCTATGTGTAGCACAGCAGGATAGTTTAATGAAGGGTTTCAAAGGCCTAGCTATTGAGTTTGCCTCTGGGGCAGTAGGGCAGGAACTGTGAGGGAACATTTGGAGATACATGTAACATTGCATACCTCTATAGCAGTTAGGGTTGTTGAGGAACACTTAGCTTTTAAAATAAATTAACAGATGGGTAGAGATGATGTGACAAAACTAATACAAAACAGTGTTTTGAGCAGACCCTAAGCAATGTTTGCATGGTGCTTGGTGTAAAATTTCTTTAAATTTGCTGTATATTTAAACTTTTGTAATGAAATAGTAAATGTATAATTAAAACCTAAAAGACTAGAGAAATGGCTCAATAGTTAAGAGCCTATCCTGCTCTTCAAGAAGACCTGAGTTTGGTGCCCAGCTCCAGGGATTCAGATACCTGACCTCCACAGGCACCTACACACATGTACACATACACACTCATGTGCACGCACGTGCACACACACATACATATAGAAATAAAATTTAAAGTTGTAATAAGCTAGTTTTTAGATATTCACTTTAATTTCCTGTCATTGTCCTCAATGAAGACCCTTGTTACTGCATCCCCAGCCCAGAGACAATCCTGAGTTAGTCTAACAAGCAACTCATCAGTTTCTAAAGACAGGACCCCGCCTTAACCATCTCATGGGCGGGGAACAGGTTCCTTCCTTCCCCTGGGTATTTTAAGTTAGACTGAGAGTCTCACAGAGCTGGAAGTTGCCAGACAAAAATTTCAGTCACTAATGGTTATGCCATACTTGTAGAGGTAATGTCACATGAGCAGAGACTCAGTTGGCTTCCTTCCTTGTATGTCTTCAACTAGATGACATTTACCGAGGAGGAAAAAGCTCTGGTTTTGGTGCTGTGTTCTATTTTCAGTCTACCACATATTTAAAGTGCATTTATTTAACAAATGAAGCTTTAGACTTTCAGGACTCAAGTTGAGTTTCTTTTTCTAAAAAATGCCATCTTTTTCTTTTAATTTTCATGATAACTAGCCATAACCATTTAATGTACTGAAAATAGGATTTATTTTATACAGGAAAATGTAGTGCAGCAATTTTTACAAAGATTTAAATGACAGATATTTCAGATAAAATTGTAATTGAAGGACAGAGAGAGGGCATAGATTAACTTTTTGTTGCATGACTCATTACTATAGTTGTTAAGCCCTCTACCACTCAAGAGTGTTTTTACTTAAAATCCAAAAAGCTGATGAGCAAAAGGAAAGAAAATTTTCACTCCTTGACCATTACCCTAGAAGATTGGATCTATAAATATATGTGGATCTTTGAAATAGACAGGTATACCTTTATGTCAAATAATGTCTGAACTAACTAGAAAAACTTGATTTACTGCATGATTGTGGTATGAGTACCATTGCCTGGTGGCTTTCACATGAAATGTTTGGGGTGTGTGTGTGTGTGTGTGTGTGTGTGTGTGTGTGTGTGTGTGTGTGTGTGTATGTGTGTGTGTGCGCACATGTCCAAAAAAGTATTAGCTTTATTTAACTTCCTAGAGGCATATGGATTCCCAAGAATGCCATACCTTGTCTATGCCAACAAACCAGTGTGTCTCTTCTTGTTACTAAATCTAATGTCATTGGCAGATTTTCCTCTCTGTTGAAAGGGTAATATTCAGAAATGAGATTTTTAAAAATATATTTCTTCTCTCTGTGATTTGGGTGTTTTTGAGTTTTTAAAACTATGAAATAATACCGACAAGCTCCAAGAAAACTGAATCTGGTTTTCATTTTGTCTCTTCAACTCTGTGTGATCTTGTGCACATTCCTGACATGTTACAAACAGCTTGTGTCTCTGGATGTGCAGTATCAATTTTCAGTGGTGAGAGCCCCAAAAGGAAACAGACTGATTCCTCCATGCACAAACAGCTGGGCAGTTGTGGATGGAATTAATTGCTGATATGTATTGGCTGTGTTTTTCTTCTCCTGTCATTTCCTTTGCAGCTGTGAAAGTGAATTTTGACTTGAAAACACATTCCCAGCGGTGCAAATCCAAAAGTATCGAGACAAGATTCTTTTAATGGATGCCCAGCTGCACCTTTGGCTTGTTGGGGTTGGGGGTGAGAAGAGCAAGAACACAGGACGGCGGCAGGTTCATAATTAACGTCTGGGGGAGAGTGGTCAAGCCAGGCACTTGCACTGCCAAGGAGTGTTTGGAACAGTTACGTTTTCATTCGTCAGGGGTGACCTCATAATCTATGAAAGGCTAGATTAATGGGTACCACCTTCATAATGTCCTTAAAGGGTGTTTCAGGCCACCTCTCAGAATTGTAAGACACCCAGTGTTCCATAGTGATTTATTCTTTCAATATGAAGGGTGGCAGTTGCTGAGAATAATATGATGATATTTACCATTAAACATATTTTCCTGGTTTTCTATCAAAACCTTTTCTGTTTGTTTTACATTATATGTAAACAATCCATGACAATTTGGAAAAGCATGTTTAGCTAGGCAGTGGGGGCATATACCTTTAATCCCAGCATTTAGGAGGCAGAGGCAGATGGATCTCTGAATTCAAGGCCAGTCTAGTTTAGAGAGTGAATTCCAGGACAACCAGGGCTACATAAAGAAATCCTTCTTGAAAAAAAACAAAACAAATAAAAAACAAACAAAGAAAAACATGCTTGGATAGTTAAATCAGATAAACCCATTCAGTTGTATGATTATAGAATTTTGTTGTTGTTGTTGTTTTTTACGAGACAGGGTTTCTCTGTATTGTTTTGGAGGCTGTCGGTCCAGCCCGGCCTCAAACTCACAGAGGTCCGCCTGCCTCTGCCTCCCGAGTGCTGGGATTAAAGACGTGCACCACTACCGCCCGGCTGATTATAAAATTTGAATGAAAAATTAATTGGCATTTCTGAATGTGCATATGCAAAAGTGGTATTTGTTAAAAGTAACTTTAAATAGTTACTGTGCAATGATAAATTTAATACTGAAAAACTAAACACAAATTTTTATATAGTACTTGTATGTGTAGCTTTGGAGCCTATCCTGGCACTGGCTCTGTAGACCAGGCTGGTCTTGAACTCACAGAGATCCACCTGCCTCTACCTCCCAAATTCTGGGATTAAAGGTGTGTGCCACCACTGCCCGGCTATACAAAAAATTCTAAACTAAAATTCTTATAAAAGTAGATGACTGTAAAAAATTTTAAATGTAATGCATATAAGTGATGCCTATCAAAATATTTTCCCTTTTATCCATACATTTTAATGTCATACCAAAACAAGTCCATAAATCACATCCCTTTTCTCGTGTGTGTGTGTGGGGGGGGCTTGCACATGTGCTGAGGCTCATGTGGAGGTCTGGTGACAACGTGTAGGGGTCAGCTACCTCTTTCACTGTGTGTTCCAGTAATCAAACTAAGGCCGTCAGGCTTCTTAGCAGCAAATGGCTTGACCCACAGAGCTGTCTACTCGCCCTTCTTTGTTTTGAAGGCAACTCTTGCTAACTGGAAGTGTAATGCTTTAATTTTTTTCTGTGTGAGGAAGAAAAAATGGATAGTGTGCGTTGTTCCAGTCCCCTAAAGTAATATTCTAAAGCAAGCTATATTTCTGACACCTTGAGATATGTAAAAACTGCAGTTGCTAAACTTAGAAGCTAGCATGGTTGGACTTCCTTTACAGTAGTCCACTTCAGTAGTGAAGCTGTGTGGACTATCAGAACGAGTCCCTCTCCTCTCTCTCCTCTCTCTCCTCTCTCTCCTCTCTCTCCTCTCAAACAGAATGAGCCTGCAGTTCATGCTTTGGCAGGAAAGCTGATCTACAGACAGCAGTTTTCCTCCGTTACTTTGAGAGGAATTAACCAATGAGTTTTGACTCTGAGGCCCTGGAAAATGCTGAGGCAATATTAATGTGCAGTTTGCTCTGTGTGAAATCTGTCTGGGTGTGTTGTTTCCCCCAGAGTGGGCCCCACCCTGCACTAACCACACTGTGTAGATATCTCGCTGTTTAAAACAAAGATCATTTTAAGGGCAGCATTGCATCAGAACTGCCACATGAAAACGAGTTTAAGCAGTGAACAGAGGCTTCAGAGGTTTTGTAAGTAGTGGGTTATATATTGTAATACCTGTGACTACCAGTGTAGGAGGGAGCAGAGCCGAGAGAGAGGTGGTCAGTTTTGTGCCAGTTACAAGTAGCACGAGCAGTACTTGTCTTTAGTAGGCTGTGGCTTCTCACCCAGCTGATTATTTTCTTTTAGGTCATTTGTCTGCTTTTTATTTTCTCATACCATTTGTCTACTTGTTCTTATTTTTAACTGTTTGTGGGTGTCATTGACTGTTTAAAGAAAGGAAAATACCAGTAATCTCCAAGTGTGCTAATATTGTAACATTAAAGTATTTAAAGAGGGTTTGTATTGAATGTGTTAGTCACTTTTATAGCATAATTGGACAGTACTGCATTTTGAGACATCGTGGCATGAACTCTGTGTGTAAGAGTGGGTTCATTGAATTAAAAGAAGGCAGCCTCTAAAGGGCCTTTCTCTCTGTCATAATGATGCTTTGTCCTGCTGCTGTTGGGTATTTGTTGGAAGAATTGGGGCAGGCTCAGCCCAAAGTTGTGTTCCATGCCTGGGCAGTTCCGTCGGTTCCGTGGCTCTGTGTTCTCCAGAATTGTGACGTGAATGGTAAGTTGAAGTGTAGAATTATTGTTCAGTGAGGTCCATGCTGAAAATTGTTTTCAACCTCTCTCCTCAGATGTCTGGGTTCTGTTTGTAGCTGGGCTTTAAATGTCTATAAAATGTTGAGTTAGGTACTAACCAACATGGGCATGTTGAGAGAGGTCGAGATTTGAGATTTGTTCTCTGTGTTATTTGTTCATTGTATACTCCTTCAGGGGGAGACACACCCATTCAGTGCAAGCAAGTTTAACAGCCTGCCTCAGTCAGAATCATAATTGTATGTTGAAACTGGTGGATTTCTGTAAAGCTTCTGGGGTGACATTGTGTCATCTTTTTTGTTCTTAAACTTCCTGACCATCGTCGCCTTGCTTCACCTTCCTCTGTGGCACTTGTTTTTAAGGTTGCCATCTCTAATCTCACAAGACGGCGAGACTAGAGTAAAAGTCTGCTGTCACTTAAGAATGCAGTCGGGACGAGCTTAGTCTGGACATTACTTTCTTCACCTAGAAAATTAGGAATTCAGATTAGCATTCTTAGATATTTTCCAGATTAAAATGCCCTAAACCTCTTTGTAACAACACATACTTGTCCAGAAACCTTGATAGAGAGCATGTTAGAACTGAGCAAACATTGTTTAGCTCCCAATCCAGGTCTTCTTATAAATGACAAGCAAACCAAAGCTGTGTTTTAGACTTACCTGCAGGAATGTCAGACATTTTGGTTTCTAGTGTCTGGGGTGTAGCTCTGACTGTATGTCACCTCCTCATCAAGAAAATGGATTCCCAGTGGAAATGAGGCCAGCCTGTGTGATGTGGCTGTCCACCTGCCTGAGCATCCTCTGTGCTAAGCATACAGTTCCTTTTTGTGTGGACTTGGCTAAGTGGCTTTTAAACTCCTGCCTGAAATATGTTTTGCATCATGACCCAACCCACACGTGTATCACTCAACTTTGGAAGTAAATTTGTCATGTAATAAGAAAACAGTCTACTGTTTTCTGTTTGATTTTGAAATATGTCAACTTTGGTCTACCGAACAACTCTGCTGTACCTTTACCTATAGGAGAAGAGAATTGGACTTAAGCTTTTACAGTAGTGCCAGAGCACAATTTGACACCTAGTTTGTTGTTAAATGTTTAATTAGACTATTTGGAACTTTAATGTAAAAATCAGTAGTTTGTATCTCTGTTAATACTCTTATTTTTCTTATGATAATTACATAATATAAAAATAGTGACTATTTTTACCATGCTTCCCAAATCCTTTGTTTTCTCTAAGAATGCTAACAAAAGTCTCCTCATCCATGCCATGCCTTATTCCTGAAGACTGATAGGAAAGGTATGTAAGGTCTTTCTAAAGAAGGAGCTATGATGGTAAGTATGGCTAGGTATAAACTGTCAGACTCACAGTGTGAATCCCTCCTTCGCCTTCCTTACCAGGGCACTGCTGCCCAGGGCCTTATACGTCCTTTCTTTGCTGTAATGTACATTTGTTGTTTATCATTGTCATTGCATACCTTTGAATATCTTTATAGTGGCCAAATTTTGCAATTATAGTGTTCCTTTAAAGAGAAAATACACATATAAAATGGTGAAGAAATATAAAAGAATGTGTGACAAATGTCCCTTAACGCCTTAGTGCCCTTAACTTTACTTCCCAAAGGGTGTGTCTGCACGTGTCTGTCTGTCTGTGTGCACTCAGATGTCTGCACGTGTCTGTTTGTCTGTGTGCACTCAGATGTCTGCACGTGTATGTCTGTCTGTCTGTGTGCACTCAGATGTCTGCACGTGTATGTCTGTCTGTGTGCACTCAGATGTCTGCACGTGTATGTCTGTCTGTCTGTGTGCACTCAGATGTCTGCACGTGTATGTCTGTCTGTGTATACTCAGATGTCTGCACGTGTCTGTCTGTCTGTGTGCACTCAGATGTCTGCACGTGTCTGTCTGTCTGTCTGTGTGCACTCAGATGTCTGCACGTGTATGTCTGTCTGTCTGTGTGCACTCAGATGTCTGCACGTGTATGTCTGTCTGTGTATACTCAGATGTCTGCACGTGTATGTCTGTCTGTCTGTGTGCACTCAGATGTCTGCACGTGTCTGTCTGTCTGTGTGCACTCATATGTCTGCACGTGTATGTCTGTCTGTCTGTGTGCACTCAGATGTCTGCACGTGTATGTCTGTCTGTGTATACTCAGATGTCTGCACGTGTCTGTCTGTCTGTGTGCACTCAGATGTCTGCACGTGTCTGTCTGTCTGTCTGTGTGCACTCAGATGTCTGCGCGTGTCTGTCTGTCTGTCTGTGTGCACTCAGACTTTAAGCTGCGTGTGAAGTGAAGCTGCTCCTGCTGTTGTGTGTTTAGCTCTCGCTTCCCAAGGAGCTGTCCAGTGCGTGCTGTGCACTGCTTCAGTGCGTGCTCAGATAGGCTGCCTATTGGTTGCTCTTAGTTTGATGGGTGCCTGGATTATTTCCAAGTTGCTTCCCATGTATCCCTGCTTTGGATGTGCTTTTGCTATCAGAGCCCAAGGACTGTTGTGAAGGACGACGGTGTTTCATGAGAACAGAGATCCCTCACCCACCTTCCCTCGTCTGACGAGACAGTCAAGAGTAGGCCTCCTACTAGCCATGCATGAGAGGGGATGATTTCTTCACAATAGTGAAAGGGTGTTGGACTTGAAGCCGGGTAGCTTGACTGTGAGACCACGGGATTGCAGGCAGGCCACTTCACCTCTTTTTATCCTTCTTCACCATCTGTAGATTGAGAGATTGGATACATGAGTTTTAATGTCCCTCTCAGTTTTAATATTCATAGCTTTTCTGTTGGAATAGTGATTTAACTTATAGGGGCCAAATTATATAAGGGATAAGTAAGGTGTGTGGTGTGTGTGTGTGTGTGTGTGTGTTGGGATGTAATTTATTTGACATGCCATATGGCCTATTTGAAAGTTTAAGGGGGTAAAAGAGAGTATTTGAGTATTCTAAATTTTTACAGAAACTGTCCTTTTCTGACAGTTCTTTTTCAATAATACAAAATCCATTCCAAAAGTAAAACCAAATCTTTTGATTGAGCTTTAATAGTTGAGGGAGAAAAAAATATATGGGGTGATACTTGCTTTTAAAGTGGGTCCTTGTGCCTTTAAGTTCCAGCTCTTAAGAGATTATCCCAAGGCTTTTGACTGTGACTCCACAGGCCAGTGAGACGGTACTTGAGCAAAGCCTGATGACCACCTGATAGAAAGGGAAAACCCTTCCTACAAGTTACCTCTGAGCTCTTCACGTGCTGAGTGTGTGTACACATGCAAATAAGTGTGACATAGAACTTTACAAATCAGCTTTAAAAGTTATGTCTTAAATTTTAGCCCCCTCATTTGTCTCCTTGAGTGCTGAACTCGGCACTACTTGACGTGGCCAGTTTTCTAACCTAGTGCTGAGGAAGCAGGCTGAGAAGTGAGCTGTACAGGGCTACCCTGCCAGGAAAGTTAAAAGGTGACAAGGCCTGGGGCTTTTGCCGCATCATCCATAGGTGTTCAGCATTGCCTCTTTCAGTTCGACCTCACAGAGTTGGACAATACCTGTTCTGAGCAAATGACATGAGAACTGCATCTGTGCTAAGCCATCTCTGAAGGCCTAGCAGTAGGGGAGGGAGTCTTGAGTTTGTGTTTGTTGCACTGGCTTCTTGGCGGAAGGCTTGGTATACCTTAAATAGTTGTATTTAAAAATCTCAGGTTGCAGCCGGGCGGTGGTGGCGCACGCCTTTAATCCCAGCACTCGGGAGGCAGAGGCAGGCGGATCTCTGTGAGTTCCAGGCTGGGCTGGACTGACAGCCTCCAAAACAATACAGAGAAACCCTGTCTCGTAAAAACCAAAAAAAAAAAAAAAAAAAAAAAAAAATCTCAGGTTGCTCTTTATCCAAGTAATGCTAAGTAGCTACTGCTTTCTGTGTTGACTGTCGTATAGAAGGCAGGTATATTACTGTCCTAGGAGTCAAGCGCTGTGTACATGGTGAGTGTCCTGATGACTGACTTGGCCCTACTGGGCTCTCCTGACCACTCCATTTCTTCATTCTTATTTTGAGAGTGGGCCTTGCTGCATAGACATGGCTTTCCTGAAACTTGTAATTCCCCTGTCTCAGTCACAGATGCTGGGACCATAGACATGTGGCACCATGCCTGACTTCCATCTCTTTGTTGTTTTCTATTATCATCTGGCTTGTACAAGTTCTCAAAGAAACTTGTTAAAATCTGAGTTTGTGAAAACAAAGAGCATTTTCAGTGATTTTGAAAGGCTGCTAGAACAGTTTCAGTACTGTCACAGTGCTCTTCTGTATGCGGATCTGCTAGGGACTGTGCTTATTACTCGCACTCTAAATGAATTAAACAGTGCTGTAGTACTTGAACTAATAAGTTAAAGTTCAGTTGTTCCTCCTAAAGAATGCGTAAGAAAAGGAAGCTTGTGATTATTGTGCTTCATACATGATTTCTTTAAACAGTTGCTCATACAAAATAAAACCCTGGAAATGGTGATAGAGACTAGGTTTTGAGGACACACCCTGATAGCTTCTTTGTCAATTATCCCATCTATTGTGGCATTTACAACTAAGGAAGTTCTTCATGGTTAGGAATATACAGGATGCTGCTACAGGGTGTTGAACAAACTTTGCTTAAGCATTTGAAGCCATTTTAGGAAAACAGTTCAGCAATAGCAAAATGAACAAACTGAGTATGATTTGAGCTGAAGCAGAAATCCATTTTAGAGAGAGGGATAAAGAGGAGGAAGCAAAGGGGACAGAATCAGATTCATCACCACTCTGTTCTGATGCAGCCCAGTGTTTGCCTAGAGTCCTGTGACACACAGTGGGAATTAATTCACTTCCTATCAGGAAATGCTGATTTTCAATGTATTATCTTGTTGAGACAACCACAGTGAACAATAGGCTATTAACATTTAGAACAACAAGTGTCATAACTAAGCCAATATTTGCTTTGTTTTGAGTATTATTCTAAAAAAAGCTTTGGCTGGGCTTCAGAATACATTGGACCATCAGTAACTGCTGAGCACACTAAAGTCACCATGTTCAAAAGAGCCTGGTGGGAAAGGATGCTGAAGCGTTGATGGTGGGGGAGAGACAGGACACGACCTCTGCAGGCCTACTCCCAACACTCGCCTGTGCGGAGAAACAGCAGCACATCACTTCAAATAAGTCCTGGTGGCACGAAAAATGTTCATTTAAAAACCCAATATAAATTTAACACACACCATGAAATTGGTGTAAAACAAGGGAAATCCGCAAATTCAATTCTCTTTTGAAATGTCAAATCCTCATGTGCTGTCATTTTCAGTTTCAAATGTTTTACAATTAAAAATTCATTTGCCAATACACTAATTTGGGAATTGATAGCGTTTCTTAATATGTGTTAATACCGGCGTATATGTATGAACATCATGTGTGTGCCTGGTGCATGCAGAGTTCTCGCAAGGTGTCAGCTTCCCTGGAACTGGAGGTAGAGGTGACTGTGAGCTCCCTGGTGTGGATCCTGGGAAGCAAAGCAGGGCCCAGGATCCTGTACAGGAAGAGCAAGTGCTCCTAACCGCTGACCCGTCCGTCCCTCTCTCCAGCCCCGTGAAAGGCAGCTGAGACATTTCCTTATCAATAGAAGTTGAGATCACAGCACTCACCTCTCAGGGCTATGTGAGTTGCCGTGAATGAAAACATGCTTCTCCACTGAAGCAGTTAAACAACAATAGGAGCTCAAGAAATGTTGACTGTTTAGTGAGCATTTCCCTTCTGGTTATTTTTATTTCAATGTGGTTTGGAGAAAACACAGACTAAAATAGGACAGAGTGACTGAGCAAAGATGTAGAATTCAGGTAAATAAACCCTTGAGAAGAGGTCAGCTTCTTAACAAAAGGCAATTGGAAAGAGGCCAGTTATGTTAACAGTGAGTATGAGGGATTTGTCAAGCCCTGGCATGTAGGCAGAACACAGGGAACTTTTGGCAGAGGGTGGTAATTGGTAAAAGTCCACATGGAGAAGCAATTGGAGAGTTTTGCATTTGAGTATTTGAAAATAAGGAAGGGATTTAGGTCACCCAAGAATGATTTAGGGGATCTTAAAAATTAGTAGTAATCCAGCCACACTTTTGTCTCTTTCTTATTAAGTCGAATACCAGTGTAGGATCCAATAGCAGCATGGACTTGACACTCCGCTGCACTAAGCCATCATCTCCTTACAGCTTCTCATAGCCTGAGGGCCAGAGCCCAGCATGTTGCTGAAGCTGCAGGCGGGGGTTTAAATGGCTTTCATGTTGGGAAAAGGACATTTCATCAAACTAATATTTTATGATCTGATACCTGCTTTAACATTTCAGTTATGACAGAAGCAGTAAAACCTGTTGCAACTTGTATTTATGATTGGAATTCATTTTGAAACATCTTCACAGGGATTTACAAACATATTTTTGTTCAGAATCTTAACATAACATTTTCTTTCTTTCTTTCTTTTTTTTTTTTTTTTTTTGGTTTTTCGAGACAGGGTTTCTCTGTGGCTTTGGAGGCTGTCCTGGTAGACCAGGCTGGCCTCGAACTTACAGAGACCCGCCTGCCTCTGCCTCCTGAGTGCTGGGATTCGCCCTGGAGCTTGGGGACAGTTGTTAATCCAACTCAGTATACATGCTCTTTAACTTATGATGGGGTTAATTCCTATAATCCTTCATAAACTGAAAATGCTTTCATAAACTTACCTAGCAAATACAATAGCAGAGCAGCGTGGTATGCTGTAGAATACTGACTGACTGTGGTTGAGAGGGTGACGGAAAGAATGGATTACTGCTGGCCCAGTAGCCAGGGAAAACAGCTCTGGACAGAGAAATGGCTCAGTGTGTAAGAGCTTTGTGTAAGACTGCCTTTGGTTCCCACCCTAACCTGGAAGCTTATAACTGTCCAATCTCAGTCCCAGGGGACCTGACACCCTCTGCTGACCTCAGGCACTGTTACATGCATGCAGTGCCTAGACATACATGCAAGCACACATACACACAAAATAAAAAAAATAAAGGAAGAAGATTTTTAAAGAGGGAGAGGAGTATCCCATAGGGTGACCAAAGCACTAATAAATTATGTTTAATGAATATTCTTTTACTTTTCTGATATCAGAAGTTACTTAATAAAGGTTTTAGTTCACTGGAGAAAAAAGGAAATTATCCCACTGTATAGTGCTAGGACTATAAAAAAGATCAAAATCCGAAGTACCATTTCTGTTGGATATATATTGCTCTCACAGTGTCATGAAATTAAAGAAAATGTGAGGCAAACCATCCTAAGCTGGGAACTATCTGTTTGCTGTGGAATGTCAGAGTTGGGCTTCAGGACTGGCGAGACGGCAGGTGCTAAACAAACCCTGCAGCCTGCGATTGAGCCCAGAGCCCACTAGGAGAGGAGAGAACCAGCTCCTGAGGATGCTGCTGCCCTCTACAGGCTGCCTTGGCACACGCATGTGCACACGAAGTAACAATAAAAATGCAAAGAGAAACCTGAGATCGAAAGCATTGGGTTTTTTTTGGGGGGGGGGCAAATAAAGATTTGAGAAACTGCTTTTGTGAAAAACAACACCACCAAACACTTCTCGGGTAATCGAGATTGTCTTTTTGTGGGCTTCACTTAAAAGCTATCATCAGGTTTCTGTCCTCGCTGATCATCACCAGAAAATACTTGAAGTGATTTCTAGGCACTAGTTCTGCATTTAATGAGTGCACTCCTGTGGCTCGGCACTAGATTTCCAAGAAGAACTCGGATGGAGCTATGGTTTTGTAGGCCTCTTACCAGTCCACATATAAAGGCTGGACGGTCCTGCCCGAGTCAGACCCCTTTGTAGTAAAAATGTGCTGACTTTAGCAGCTGTGTCTTGTAAGTTATGCTAAAGAAAGCCAAAAGTCCCTAGCTGAAATACTTAAATAGATCAGTGTCTCTCTTTAATTTTGTATGTGTTTTCCTCCAATTTTGTTTTAAAGATTTATTTATTTTGTTTGTTTTGAGACAGGGTTTTTCTGTATATCCCTGACTGTCCTAGAACTTGCTCTATAGACCATGCTGACCTTGAACTCACAGAGATCTACCTGCCTCTGCCTCCCAAGTGCTGGGGTTAAAGGTTTGTGCCACCACCAGCAGCTCATTTTTAACATTTTTAATCATGTGTGTACGCACACGCATATGCATGTCTGACTGTCGGCACCTACAGACGTCAGAGGCAGTAGATCCCCTGGGGCAGTTGTGAGATGGCCAGTGTGGCCCTGGGCGTGGAACCCAGGCCCTCTGCAAGAACAGTGCATGCTCTGAACTACTGAGCGGTTTCTCCAGACCCTTCTCCCTTCTCAAAGTAAGGTGCTTTGTCGCGTTCCCCTTATCCACCCATCTCCTACCTCCACTGACCGCAGTGACCACCTTAGCAATAAAACCCAGAAGTACAATGGATGGTAACAACCCCCTTCCCTATACTTTGAGTTACGGTTTCCTTTTACAAGTCCATCTTGTTTTTAGTAATGTGCCTTGTGTCTTTCTTCAGGTTGAATAGAACAGGATTTTTTTTTTTCAGAATACCTATAATCCCAGAATTTGGGAGATAGGAGGCAAGAAGAATGAAAGTTCATGGCCAAAAAACAAAACAAACCAAATTATCAAAAGCAAACAACCAAAAAAAATGCTATCTTAAGAAATAGACATAAGCCAGGTGGTGATGGCGGCAACACACACTTTTAATCCCAACTCTCGGGAGGCAGAGGCAGGTAGATCTCTGTGAGTTCAAGGCCACCCTGATCTACACAGTGAGTTTTAGTACAGCCAGAGTTACATAGAGAAATCCTGTCTTGAAAAACAAAACAAAAAATGTAAGTGAGGGCTTGGTGAAGTTTTCTATATCACTTGTATTTTAATATTGATTTTTAAAAATTTTATGCTGAGTATGGATATTGCAGTAATACTTAAGAGTAAATTTTTACTTCAGACATTAACTGAAAAAAATGTCAAAAGCAAGGAGTTTTGATTTTTGAAACTTAGTCCTGCACAAATAATTAAGTAGACTTAAGTTCATGAAATATGTGGGGGTTGATCATTATCCCCAGGAGGAGTACCTGGGATAGTAAGCCAAAGATTTGAGGTATTACTAGCAACTAGGAGTGATGAATCTTTCTCTAAACCCTGAGTCTCCAATGATTCCTTCCCATATAAAGTCCCATTTATCATGAACTGCCAACATTCTGGATTGTTTCCTAGATCTCACTGTTTAAAATTTCACTGATACTAGGGGACTCAATAGCAAACTAAATGTCTGAGAGGCACACTCACGTCATCAATCCACTGATCTCTGTCATCTTTCTCATGGAAGGAAAAGTTCTTTTCCTCCTCAACCATTTCCAAATACTCCATGTTGAGAACAATTGACTAAAGAAATATATAGAGAAAATGTCCATCAGAATAAATGAGATTATCTATATAGAACACAATATCTGAAAGTGTATGGTTACAAAAAATGAATTACTGATTACAGTTTCAGCATGTATGTGTATACATAAGTTTATTTTTGTGCCCATCTTAGAGTTTTGTGGTTTTAAATTTTTTAGTGTGTGTGTGTGTGTGTGTGTGTGTGTGTGTGTGTGTGTGTGTGTGTAGTCAGAGGACACCTCTCAGAGAGTTGGTTCTGTCCTGACACCTTGTGGGATTCCAGGATTAGGAATCAGGCTGTCAGGCCTGTGGGCAAGCACCTCTACTACCTACCATTTGAACCTTGTTGTCTCTCCCCAACTCTCCTCCCCTCCCCTCCCCTCCCTATTTGACATAGTCACACACTATAGATCAGGCTTGTACAGACTCACAGTGTGACCTAAGCTGGCCTTGAACTGGAGTGCTGTGATTCCAGGCATGAGCCACCACACCAGACTCCATACCTTACCCATTATAAACCAAGTTTCCCTTCATTTCTTTGTTGTTTTTCTTGAGTCAGGATTAACCCGGGATTGGCCTTAAACTACCCATCTTCCTTCCTTCCTCTAGCTTCTGTATCACCTACCTGGCTTCCTCACCCCCTCATTTGTTTGGTATATTGTACTCATTAGATCGCAACATAGTCTCTTCCAAGCCCATTTCATGATAAAGCCCTCAAGCTTTCAAAGAGATGCTTACTTAGTTTTGGAGATAAAATAGCCTGTATGTGATAAGCAGTTATCGGTAAGATTAACAGCTCCAATTTCCAAAATGCTGAGCAGTGCTTGTGTGGTCTTCTCTGCCTTTCAGCTAAAGGCCCTTACCCTACATACTGTTCTTTTTTGCTTAGAATTCAGAATTGTGTGGAATATACTGCAATGTTTTATGATGCACTTAGAATTCAGAATTGTGTGGAATATACTGCAATGTTTTATGATGCACTTAGAATTCAGAATTGTGTGGAATATACTGCAATGTTTTATGATGCACTTATTGTCACCTGCATTACACTTTCTAGTCTGCTCATCTCCTAATACTGTCTACCCTTAGGAAGCTTATTAGCGTGTTTTATTGAGCACTAATGGGAAAAGGAGCTAGTATATAAGATGAAAGGTCATGAGTACGTAGTACAGGGTGGTGGGAGCGGTCTGTTCCAGGAGGTTGAGCATGCTCTTGCTGAATGTATATATGTATCATTATTGATACCTCCTCATATGTAAGCACATCTCATTGATACCTCCTCACTGCTATGCAATCTGGAGAAAAGCAAATTTGGGCTAATTCTTTAGTTGATTTTTGCTTCCAAGTCTTTAAAGACTAAGAAAGGACACAATATTAATAAAATGTTAGTGGGCATTTCTATATCTTTAATAACTTAGCACTTTAGGAAAAGCATGTTCCTTCAGTATTTGGATCAGACCATTATACGATTACCTCACTCCTACATCCCTTTGTACATACTGAATTGAGAGACGAATACAGCCATTCATGGACCACTGAGCTTCAGCCTTCCCTTTGGCGCCATCTGTGTGCCAGGGGCATTTATTAAGTATAAGCAAGTATGGTATGATGGGCCTGTTCACTTAAATTTCATTGAAGAAATAAGTTTAGTCCATGGAATAATCTGAGTGATGTGTAACGCTAATAAATGCCATTGCTATGATTTTGAACCAGTGTGCAATACCTTGAGCACTGTACTTTAAAAAAAAAATCACCACCTTGACATATAATTTGGTCTCATCTGCAAAATATGATTTTCAAATCCAACATAGTGCATGAGAAGTGGCGCAGCGACAGCAGCCGCAGCAGCAGTAAGATGTAGTGTGCTGTGGGATAATTAAGTCTCCCTCTTGGGGGCACAGAAAGTGCCGTCTGCATTGTCTAATGACAGGGTTACTTGCTTCATTTTCTCAGCTTCGTGTCTTGATCATTTTTATGTCGGTTATTTGCAAAACTGTGGCTAGCAGATAAAAGCAACCCGTGACTTTTTGAACTTAAATAAAACTTGAGTGGCTAAGAGTATGGTTTGTCACAGTTTGTACAGGGTCTTAGTTGTTTTCTAGAACTTTAAATGTCCTCACCATTCCATAGAAATGGTCAGAAGAGCTACCACAATAAACAGCGCCTGTTTATTAACCAAGTGCTGCTTTGAAGTCTTGACATTTGATTATTATTCCAAGTGTGAGGCCGTAGGCTGAGACTTGAAAGCAGAACGTCTCTCCTTATTGGAAAACAGTTGAAACGACCAAGAATGTGAAGTTTGGAAAGGCTTTTATGAGTAGTCTTTTTGTTTGAATTGCTTATAACCTAGGTGTATTGTGAGCAGGTTAGTTAGAAGTTACAAATGCAGTTTGTAACAGTTTCTGGCCGTGTGGAGGCTCTGCATATAGCCTCACTCCAAATTTGCAAGCTAGTCAAGAGCTTCTCTAGTGGGATTTTTAAGATAATAATCTTATAGGGATATAAATCACCCATCATATGTGTTTCCTATTTAAAGTATATGATTTGGTTCTTTGTTACTGTTTTAAAGCAGGATCTAGCCCAGCCTAAGCTGGAACTTGCCAGGTAGTCAAGGATGACCGTAAACTTTTGATCCTCCTGCCTCCACTTCCCAGGTCCTACAATTACAGGCTGTACCACCACACTTGGTTTATGCTGGAGATAAACCCAGAGGCTTCGAGTATTCTAGGCAAACACTGGGTTACGCCCGAGCCTGGTTAGTTACAGAACTGTACAATTAAGTCAAAGTTTTCAAACATCTTCATTGTTCTTTAGGAGCAATCTTAGTAGAAGCTAACCCTTATTTTCTCCTAGCCTTGAACAACCACTGACCCATACCCTGCCTCTGCAGGCCTGCCTGTTTGAACCCTGCATGTAAATGTGTGGTCTGTGGTAGCTGGATTCTTTCACTTTTCGTGCTAGTTCGTGATTCAACTTGTTACAGAGTGTTAGTACTTCATTTTCTGTGTTTGTTTTGTGAGCATGTGTGACATCCGTGGAGGTATGTGTGTGGATATATGTGCCTGTGTGCATGCAGAAGCAAGAGAGGGACCCTGAAAGACTTGCTCTTTCTCTGTCTGCCTTGTGCTTTTGAGTACCGTGTAGTAGGCTGCTTTGTGGTTGGAAGGAGGGCACAGATGGAATTTTCACAATTTATTTAAATTTTTTAGATCTAGTAATCAGCTGAAATTTCAACCGTATTTAGGTGTGAGAGTCCTCATGGAGAGCAGTCATATTTAAACTGTTCTGACCACAGAGCAGGCTCCTATTAAGCACACACTGAGTTAGTATTTCCCCTGCTGTACCTTCCTTGACTGGTACTAAGATCTGAACACTGGCTACAAAGTGCCTATTCCCTCTAATGCTGAATTTCATTTTGTGTCCCAGGCAGGGGCTGTTACGTAACCACATTTTGTATTCCACACTCCTTGAGTTGCCATGAGAAGTGTTCTTGATACTGTGTTCCAGGTACTGCTAACAGGATCCATGTGCTTTCACTCAGATGCAGTTTAGTTGTTTGGTTAAACTCTATCAGAGTGCTTTCTGGTACTGAAAATGTCTGAAGAGAGGTATAGAACAAGCTTTACCCTACTGCATCTATGGAATTGGGAACTCTTAGTTTTGATTTTAACACTCTTAAGGAATATTAATTTTATAAAAATTAAACTTTAAATTTTAAAAATGTTTTTCAGATAGTTGTAGCTGCATATGCAGTTGTAAAAATCAGCAGAGATCCCTTGTATCCTTCATGTAGTTTCCCCCATTAGTAACATCTTATAAAACTGGGACCCTGAAGTAGGATGGGGCTTGGGAAGAGGGGAGAAGAGGGAGTCTGGAGAGAGAACACTGAAGACCTTTAAAGAAGACGTATGTCTCCTATTGTAGAAGCTCCTAAAAGCATACATCCACATGCATAGAAAGTTTAGATGGAGTTACCCTGCAATAGGGGATGGAAGAAAGTGCCTCTCCCAGACATCCCAGGCTAATTTTAAAAGCCCAGTGCTAGGAATGGGCTACATCTCTTCTGAACTCAGGCTTGGCACCACTGCTGTGGAATTAAACTTCTTTCTACATTCTTATCTTTATACATCTTTGAGCCCTCATCAGAGAACCTTATTTTTTTAGTAGATGATAACAGTTAACACCAAAAGCCACAGCTGGTCAGTGTACAAGGAATAAGAGACTGTAGTGTAGTTGGCCCCGGATGGGACATCTGTGTAGCACCCCCTCTCGGGAGCATTGCAGAAGAGGGTGAAAGATTCTAAAAGCCAGAAACAGTGAACAAGAGTTTCGTGGACATATCAGAAGTTACTCATATTAGCTCACAGTGGCTATGGCAGCATGCACAAGACGTGTAAGATCAAGACACTTTACCATCCCACCATGGATGGGGGGTAGTCACTAACTCCCAGGCCTAGCTACTGAAAGAAACAGTTTTCTACACAGATGTGGCTCCTAACAGGGTGGGTACCCTTGCTCCAGTAGATGGCCCTGAACGTGTGCACACCCTGGTATCATGAAGCAGATGCAGTGGCTTTTGAAAAAAACACATGGAGTTTTGAGCAAACAATGGAAGGGGAAGTGATAGGGAAGGTATTGGAAGGGAGGGACTGGGGGACTCGATCAAAAAACATATGTGCATGTATGAAATTCTTAATTAAAATCTGTGCTGCAGTACCCAGGTAGTAGAATTGTTGGCACTGACCCTCTTCAGATTTTTCTAGTTGTGCCCATGGTCACTTAATGCATACATTGAATCCTAACTCGGTCCTGAGCGTACCGTCCTCTCTCACACACACCAACCTCTGGTCTGTTCTCTACTTCAACAATGTTGTCATTTGAGGATTTATGTAAACGAATCATGCACCATATAACCACTGGGATTAGCTTTTTCACTCACTTTAATTCACTGAAAATTTATTCAGACATTTGCAAATACAAGCAGCTCATTCCTGTTTTGCTAGGTAACCATCCATATATGAATGTATCTTATCTTAGCTGTTGATATGTTGAAGGACACAATGCTTATTTCCTGTTCTGAGCTACTATAAATAAAACTACTCTCGAGATTTGTGTGTAGATTTGTGTGACTTGTTCTTTCTCTGGGATAAATGGCCAGGAATATAACTGCCAGTTGTATAGTAGTTACATGTTTTCAATAAAATATCAAGCTTTTTTCCACGGTAACTGTACCATGTACATCCTGACAGTGTATGAGGTTCTGACTTGTCACATCTTTCCAGCATTTAGAGTTGTCACTGTTTATTTTACCATTCTGATGATCTGTGTAGAGCTGCACCATTGCAGCTCTGTTTCCCTGATGACTAGTGAGGGATGCGAACATCTTTCCCTGTGCCTATTTGTTTGTTACCTATGTATCTGTGTGCTTACTGCTACCCTTTGAGTGTTCATATATATTCTTTTCATAGTCCTTTATTACATACATAGTTTCTTCATGGTCTATACCTTTTCTTTTCATCCCCCCCTTTTACTTTTATTTAAATTATGTGTAAGTATACGTTTGTCTGTGTCGTGCTACACAAGGATGGAGGACTTGAGAAGTTACTGAATCATTTAAAAACCTAGTCATACTCTTTCATACATCAGTAAATAATACCCACTAAGAAGTGTAAGGTGCCGGGCGGTGGTGGTGCACGCCTTTAATCCCAGCACTCGGGAGGCAGAGGCAGGCGGATCGCTGTGAGTTCGAGGCTGGGCTGGACCGACAGCCTCAAAAACAATACAGAGAAACCCTGTGTCGTAAAAACCAAAAAAAAAAAAAAAAAAAGTGTAAGGGTCCTTGAATGGGGCAAAAGTCTGGTCTGACATAAAAGCAC